CGCACTCCTGCTTTAAACATATCCTTATGTGAGGATTAAAAAAAAAAAAAATTTATCAGTCAGAAAAGCAGACATATCAACTGGGGAAAAATAGTATATCTGTGAGGAAGACAAAAGGGACCCCTGGTCTCTATTGGCCATCGTGCTGATTACCACAGGAACAGTGCGTTGCAAAGTCAAAGAAATAGAACCAAGCATTCGGTGACTGACGTGTGACAGTGCAAACGCCTAGGGAGTTTGTCAGCTCTAACAATTCCTATCCCTGTCCTGACAGAGTGGTAACTGGGCCACACCCCCACTTGGGGTGTCCTGTTGCTTCCTTGCCCTGAGGTTAATCCCTGCGCTGCATACTGGTGTGACCCCAACTTTGTGCTCTCCCTGCCAGGTCATGAGGTGGTTTTGGACTGTGGTTTCCAGTTTGACCCAGGAGGAGTTGGCTCGACTGCTTCAGTTCACGACAGGCTCCTCCCAGCTACCACCTGGAGGCTTTGCGGCCCTCTGTCCCTCGTTCCAGATTATTGCTGCTCCGACCCACAGCACGCTGCCAACTGCACACACATGGTAGGTATATGACTGCCCGAAGCATGCTTATGTGAGGGATTATTTTTTTCATCCTTTGTCAGTGGTTTTGAGTTAATAACTTTCCCCCTTGCCCTTCCAGTTTTAACCAGCTGTGCCTCCCTACGTACGACTCGTATGAAGAGGTGCACAGGATGCTGCAGCTGGCCATCAGCGAGGGCTGTGAGGGCTTTGGCATGCTCTGACCACTCTCCTGCCATCCCCTTGGCTCCCATGCTTTCTGGAGCAGCAGGGTGTGCACAACAGACATCATAACCACTGATGCTAACAGAACACATAACCATCAACCAGAAGCTGCTGCATGCTCCCCAGTGTCTGGAGTATTTGGTCACCTACAGGCCTTGTCCTTCCCTCTCCTCCTTCCTGTCCATCCTCTCCCCCCAGGCCACTTTGGCATGGTTTGCATTCTGAGCTCCTCGTTCAGTCATGAGAAGAGGACTGTGCTGCTGTAATTCCACTTGGTTCTTAGGAGATCTCAGTAGCGGGAGCTGCCTCATTAGCTGAAGGAGATTACACAAAGGGCTCAGCTCTCATCGGGGAGCTGGTGCCCTCGCCTTGCTATTCTCCTCTGCTTATGCTCCTTCAGGGTCCCTCTGTGGCCCTCCTTACTTGACCTGAGGTCTGTGAGTCCTCCTTGTGGGCAGGGTTATTGCTGCTTCTCAGCAGGAGCCAGGAGAAGCACAGATAGGAAGAGGCCCACATGCGCCGTCTTTGGTTTTGTCCCTCTGCACAATGGCAGGCATAGGCGTTGGCCCTGGACTACCTCTAGTGGGGACTGAGCACAAATGGATCTTTCTGTGTGGTTCTAGACTGGAAACAGAGCATTCCCTGCAGGCATTTCTGGAAATGGTCATTCATTTCTAAACAATTCTAAGCTTTTTCTTGAGTTTGAGCCAGTGGGAAAAGCAGAGCTAAGCATGTGAAAGAGCTGGGCTGTGGCCTCCAGTGCTCAGTCTGCTTCTCCTTTAAGGTTGGGGTATGTCTAGGCATATGGCTGGCTTTTGAAGACTACTGATGTTTGTCCCTAAGTTTGCTCTTTATGCTGAGGTGTGGCTGGGCCTGGTCACCTGCCTCCGAGTTATGCATTCTGCTAAGAGCTGGGATTCTCTTCCTTTCTACTGAAGAAAATTTCGGAGCAAGGAACTGGGATCAGAAGAATAGCATGCCAGTGATCCCTGCTTCTCTCTTTGCTTGGTGTTCTCTGGCAGCACTGGGGCACGGGAAGGGGACCAGCAATTCCAGTGGTTTCACAGGTCCTTTGGGTCAGGACACTGGGAACAGAGGGGATACGGCAGGCAGTAAACACCTCGCTGCCCCAGTTACTTCCCTTCATTCCCTCAGTTACCACCAAGGGCAACTAAGAAGGAAGATAAATTAGGTTCACTGTTGTGTGATAATTGAGGAGCACCTGCTGCTGTCTCTTGGATGATGGCAACATCCTCCTTCATTACAATTTGGATGAAAACATTTGCAGGACGCAAAACCTCATCAACCGCCCCACGTGTCTGTTTTTAAGAAGGCTTTGCTGCAGTCTACCATTCCCAATGGGGCATTCAAGTCTGAGACTATTACAAGCCATCTTTATCGCCAAAACCAGCAAGTACAGAGTCCAGAGAGGAGGCAGGACGGTGGCATTGCCGTGGCCTCCTGGAAGCAAGTCTGAGCCCTCCTGCTCCCAGGGATCACAAGGAACAAGCCCTCCTGAGCTGCTGCTGTTCATGCCTGACCTCACTCCTTCGCAGTCGTCATTTGTCCTTCTTGGTGTGGGTGCTGACCTCACTCATTCTTGGGGTCCAGGATCCAGTGTCAGGGCCTCTACACCACAGGGTCCTGCATGCCACATGGTCACTGCTCTCCTCAGGGACCAGGACAAGGTGCTGCCGCTTGCCCCAGTGTTTCCCGTGGGATATGTACAGGCAAGCTTTGTCATCACCCCGGGAAACAGGATGCTGCCCCGCGGCCCAGAGAGGGAGGCCCATGGGCTGGCTCTGCTGTCTTTGGCAGTTATTCCTCTTCTGGATTCTGCTTTCACCCCTCCGGCAGCTCCCCACAGACTGACGCTGGAGCTCGATTTGATTTTCTTGGCTAGACCTGTCATTTTAAGCTCCGGTCGTAGCACTTCTCAAAGCATCCTGGGCACCACCCCTGCCAGCCGGGGCAGCTGCATCCCTGTGGGGTCCTGAGCCCAGGACCTTTGTTTAACAAAGCCCTTCGGTACTGCTGTGGTTTTTCTATTCTTCCAGGTTCCCCTCTGCGCTAACTGTTCAAATTTATCTTTACTCTTTGGGGCCTTTCTTTTACCTTTTTTTTTTCCCCCCCCCCCCCCCCCCCCCTTCTAATCCTGCTTTGGTACTAGCCAGTGTGGGGAAAGGTACATTGTGTCAGAGAGAAGTAGGGTGTGTTACTTCTCGGGCAATTTTCTATTCACGTTTCTTATTTTGGCCAGTTCTTTTATTTATGCCCTTGTGGCCCAAGTACTTTGGGGGGGGTCAGCTAACCTTCTGGCCTTCAGTGTCTTTGAAGGAGACCAGACACAAAGTGGACACCAAGGAGAACATCGGCATGTCTCTAGGACTTCCGCGGAGACCAAGCCCCGCTGCAGATTTGTCAGGCCGGGCAGAAGGGCCAGACAGTTGCATTGATTGTGTAAATATTTTGTACAGTAAGTAAATAAATGTTTAAAAGGACTAAGGAGTAGAAAGATTTTTTTTGCATTTTCCCAAGAATTCCTTCAGAAGCAGGCGGCTCAGGGTAGGATGTACACTGGGAGACCCGCCTGCCCCAGGCCTCTTGCTCTTTCACCCTTCTCTGATTGCTGTCCATGGTGCCAAGGGGGGCCCTGTCATTCACACAGATAGCCAGTGGTCAGGACAAGTGCTTGTGCAGCTTGGCAAGAGCAGAGGGTGTCTGTTCTCATCATTCTTTTAAACATTAATTTGTTACAGTTTTACTACATAAGAAACTCAGTGTAGAAAATTTGCAAATGAAAAAAACAAGAAATGAATCACCTGCCATCCAGAGGTAACACTAGAAACACTTCGATGTTTCTTATTCGATGTATCTTGCATATAATCACATTTATTCTCCCTCCCATCCTCCCCGCACCCCTAACCCTTCCACAAGTGCTGTGGGTGTGGCAAACAAAAACACAGCTCCTCAAATTTGGCAGGTGGTACCAATTCTTTTCCAAACAAAGATAAACTTGGCAGAGAGAAAACCATGCCTGATTTATGTCTAGAAAGAAAAGTATTAGGGATTCTGGCTTTCTAAGAGAAGTAATCATGGTGTCTTGTACAGTAATTTCTAATCTGGAAAATCAAAACAAAATCCTATTTAGAATTCTTTTTAAAATTCAGGTTTTTGCCCCTACTCCCAGATCCAATGAATTGGAATCTTAACAGGAAAACTCCTGTACAGTGCTTTTACCCTATTTCATCAAGCTCCTGAGTGATAAGCCATGTCACAAAACGAAACAAAATTCTCTCTGACTTAATATTTTTAGGTTAACTGTCCTACATCTTTTATACTCGCTGCTCTTGTGGCTTTGAATAAGTCACTATGAATGCTCAGTGAGAGATTTCATTTCATCCTGAAGTTGTTATTAAGACTCAAGAGGCTAGTAAGATTATTCTTTTAAAAAATATATATTTTATTGATTTTTCACAGAGAGGAAGAGAGAGGGATAGAGAATTAGAAACATCAATGAGAGAGAATCATCGATCAGCTGCCTCCTGCACACCGCCTACTGGGGATGTGCTTGGGCACATGCCTTTGACCAGAATCGAACCTGGGACCTTCCAGTCCGCAGACCAACACTCTATCCACTGAGCCAAACCAGTTTCGGCAGATTATTCTTGAATTAAAACAAAAGTTAGTGCTCAGCCGGCATGGCTCTGTTGTTGAGTATTAATCTACGAACGAGGAGATCTAGGATTCCTGGTCGGGGCATATGCCTGGGTTGTGGGCTTGATCCCAAAGTGGGGTGTGCAGGAAGCAGCTGATCAATGATTCTCCCTCTATTCCTCTCTGAAGCCAATAAAAATATATTTTAAGAAAATAAATACAAGTTTCGGCTTCTCTTGTGCTGGTACCTCTGAGCCACTGCGCACTGAGCTTTCAGCACACTCTGGGGGCTACAGTAGAGGTGGAACAGGACTCCTTATCTCTACTTCGGTTTCACTTAGATCTGAAGTATAAGAGACCAGCTCCAGGTATCCTGTAATACTTTCACTTAAAAATAGAAAACTTATTTTGAGATGTAACATATATACAAAAAAAGGTATGCAAGCACATACAATTTAATAAGTAATTATAAATGAAGTGCACATGTGACCACCATCCGGGTCAAGAAATAAAACAGTGCAGAACTGCAAACTTTAGGTCTCATCCCATACCTCTATTGTTCCGACTTTTATGAGAACTGTTCTATCTGTTCCTTTTCCAAACAGCCTAGGGAGAGGGTGAAAAACAGCCCATGTGGCCTCTTAAGATACTAAGCAAGGTCACTTTCTCCATAGTCATTGCAATACTTCACAATTAGTTTTGAAATTTTCAGAGACAATCGTTTCCCATGAGACTAGTTCAGATTCCTGATGCTAAATCTGATGAATCATATTCAATGTCTACAAAGTTTTCTTGCCAAGATTTACCCCCAGAGATTCTACAATACATTGGATGCTCCTTTGCAACACCCTTTACAGGTTTTGTGGGCTGGTCTTACATGATCATCATTCTTTTTGCTGGTCAGCAGCAGGTTCATGAGTATCATAAAAGTACAGTGGTATTGAAAATGACTCAGCCCTAAGTTGACTCAAAAATTGTAGAATGGGCTAGAACTTCTGACTCAGACTATGGAAACTGCACCATCTAACAGAAAGTCATCCCAAAGTTATCGAACAGCTTAGTTTTTCTGTTTGGGGTTCAAAGGGAATGGGTTTAGGGGGTCTTGTGATGATCTTGGTTTGTATTTGACGGAGACTTGAGATTCGCCTTGCTATGAACACCACTACCACCCTGCCAATTCTGTTCACTTTAATTTTGCTGAAGAACACTTTGTGTTAACTACAGCAGGCACCTGGTTCTCTGCAGTGAACTCAGGTGTAGTCTATTCAAGTTTGTCAGTAAAATCCTGGTAAGGAGATGTGGAGGGCAGTTTATTACCAGAAGGCAGAGGAGTGATAGCTGCAGGCTTTTGATACAGCATCAGAGGTAGTTTTAACCAAGTTGTCCAGGTTGTCAATAGAGCACTGGCTTATTAATACCAGCCAGCAGTGGCAGCTTCTTAAATACAAGGTGCTAACAATGCTGGTATCCTACGGGCAGGGATTAGACACACCAGCACAGAACCCCACATCCAGTCACCTTGAAAGATCAGTGTGGGATCCCTATCTAATTGCTCTTGTAGCCTTCCTTCAGGAAGATGGAGGATAATTTATTCAGAATGAAGTGCACAGATGTGGTTGCTACTTCCTCGGAGTACCCAGCTAGCAGGCCAACATGGCCTTTATTACCTTCACCCCCATTGATTTTTAGGTCTTAGATCTCCATCTCTTAGGGATGACTCTAGGAAGAAGTGTTGGATGACTCAAGGAGCTAGGTGAGGAGAATGCATTTCTTTTATAAACCTCATTGTATCCTTGCCCAGGTGGCCCATGCTATGTTTCTGACTCCAGGGCCCGGGGGGCCTTCAGCCTCCCCTGCAACACAGGCATTTCCTGTCACTTGGCCTTTTCTCAAAGAAGATATTCTTGGACACCTTTGCATCAAGTGTGCAGAATAGGATCTTCAAAGGATAGAGAGATATGATTGGAGAACTTGAACATTCATATTTTATTTTTAACTCCCATGGTTCAACCTTGGGAAATCTTTCAATATCAGTTTCCTGACCTGAAAATTGATGTTATTAACTAAGAAAATCAGCTAGTAACCTGGAGCTCTTAGAAAAAGTTTTCTATATATAGTATGTGTGATACCATATGGACTATGGCCTAGTGCCCTGGTACTTTCCATAGCGGGAGGCTGTATGGATCTGGGAACAGTAGAGTATGATAGAATATGTCAGAGTATGCTAGAGTGTAGAGTAGAGAATGCTAGAGTGGATGACTGGCATGGGTGTGGCTCTTTTCCCACCTTGCTGCCTCCAGGCAGGCCAGAGAAAGTGAGTATTCAGACAACTTGCCCAAACATCTATGAAGAAGTCCTCAGGTCAGAAGAGATCCTTCACATGATCCTCCAAAAGCCAGAGGAGGTATTTGAGGGGACTGCATGTCAAACCTCTGTCATGTGGTAAGCAATCTAGTAATAGGCAGAGCTGTATGTGAACGTGGATCTGTTTCATGTCAAAGCCCAAACTGTCCACATTGCTGGTCTATCTCAGGCAGATTAGTTTAGACTAAAAACAGCCCAGGCACAGGGCCACCAGAGCTCACTGACTCTACCTCATGATCCCTCGGTGACATCACATAACAGATGAATACTTTATACCTTTGTTTATCTGTCGGTCACTTGAGGATTTCAGATTCAGAAGGCTCTACTTTAAGATACCACTATTAGTTGTGTCTTTAAAATCCTTGGCATGTACAAAGTTCCATAGAATACTAGCTAATGACTTGAGTGAAGTGACTTCCAAGTTGAAATGAATCCTGCATACAAGACATCCTGATGATATAATGGAGGTGTGAGCATATATCTGTGTGTGGGAGGGGGTGAAGTGAGCTGGGGGGCATCCTGCAATTTTATTTTTTTAACAAGATATCCATGCACTTTATTAAATATCAAATTATCAAGCCCAAAACAATGTCCAGAAAAGTTATAGAATGTTAACAATTTGAGTCAGGTCCCTGGCTCAAAATAATAGAATCAACTGGTAACAAAATAATTTGTCAACCAAATCCTACAAACAGGATAGATTTTAAAATACCATCCAAAATGTCGGACAATAAAAAAGTACTAGAAAGATATCTGCACAAATATGCAAATATGCAGAAACCTCAATGATTAAAATAATACTTCATTAAGACTCTTTGTAGACAACCAAATGAAGGAATAATATACACTTAATTTGTAAAGTTCAGTAGTGTTTAAAGATGTCAATTACCACCAGAAACATTTATGAATTTTTAAAAATATATTTTATTGATTTTTTACAGAGGGCAAGGGAGAGGGATAGAGAGCCAGAAACATCAATGAGAGGGAAACATTGATCAGCTGCCTCCTGCACAACCGCTACCGGCGATGTGCCCGCAACCAGGGTACATGCCTTTCACTGGAATCAAACCTGGGACCCTTCAGTCCGCAGGCTGACGCTCTATCCACTGAGCCAAACCAGTTAGGGCGAAGTCACCATTTCTATTATACAAACCCCACTTCACCTGCATTATGGACTTGCACATGAAGGAATCTGTCTGAATCTTCCCGTCCTCTTTCTACAGACCAACAATGTTTCCTCGCTCCTCAGAACTCCCACTCAAAGGAGTTGCCAAGACATTCCTCTGCTTGCCCATTAGCAGAGTCAGGGATATCAAATATTCACAAGCCAGCTGGAGAGCCTTTGATGGCTTTTATGTTTGTTGAAAACAAGATGCTGCGTTATTGTGTAAGAGGAAATTTTGTGTGTGTCATCATTTTGTGCTAGTAGGTCTAATCCTATTCCAACTTGTCATTTCATTTCTTGTAATGTACTTCTCCCAGCCCCACAAAAATAAAAGAGAAGGAAAACTTAATGTTTATTATCTATCACTGGGTTTGTGGCCTCCTTTTTCCCTTCGGTTCTCTGCATTTCCGCATCTCAGCAAACATTTCCTGTGTATCAGGAGCTTACACACACACACACACACACCATAGAATGTGATCCCTGCTCCCAAGCAGCTCACAGTCTTGTTGAGGGAGACAAACATATAAACACTCTATTTTCCTTAGGGTTTCCTCTCCCCAAGGCTTGAGTACCCAAACCCGTCGCCATCCACTCCCATAGTTTTCCTCATTCCTTTTTAATTGTAGTTGGGGTTCTGTTTATGCATTTGGAGACTTTCCACATACAGAGTAACAGCTGCAAGTGAAATTTGTCTAGCTCCTAACACATATACAAAGGGAAGGAAATTACTCTCCCTATTGATTTTCGGAGACGCAAGAACCCTTGCAAAGATGAATTTCAAACCAAGAGACCCAGGCAGCGAGCCCCTCATTGTGCCATAAATATGCCATCACCTGAGCAGGTCCTGGGAAAGGAAACTCCATGGTCTTAGGACCCACTCTCCCTCTTACCTACTCTCCCAGACAAAGCAGCCCTGAGGTGTTGACTTTGGCAGTGGGGACTGGCCAGCGCCTGCCGCTCAGTGAATGAAATTAAAATCTTGAGTGGATGGGGAGAGGGAAGTATCTCCAACACTAACAACAATCAGAAGGGTTTGTACTATGGTCAGATGACCAGGGGGTGGCAGAGGAAAGACAAAATAATGCCATTTCCAATGGACCAGAGGCACGAAGAGGCAAATCCACTTTATGAACAGCCATGAAGTTGGTTGGCTGAGACCAATGTGGGTGGAAACACTGAGCTTCACTCCAATTTCCCCTGATGTTAATCAAACCCAGGAAATTGGAATCCTTGGTCATCTCTGCATGGTGTGCTGTCTGTTCCTCTCTGGGGTTGGGGCTGATCTTAACATCGATTCCCCAAGCTTCTGAGCTGGGTCACAGCTGGATGGGCCTTGGGTCAGCCCATTGCCTTTAGGAAAACCTTCAGGCTTCCTTTCCCAGAGGAATTTCTTCTCTGACACTTTTATATATATATATTAATATGTATATTGATTTCAGAGAGGAAGGGAGAGAGAGAGAGCGAGATAGAAAAATCCATGATGAAAGAGAATCATTGACTGGCTGCCTCCTGCACACCCCTGATTGGAGATCAAGCCTGCAACACGGGCATACGCCTTGACTGGAAATTGAACTGTGACATCCTGGTTCATAGGTTGATGCTCAGCCACTGAGTCACACCGACCAGGCTCTTCTCTGATACCTTGTTCATGATGGCTCCAACCTGTGTCTCCTCAAGAAGTCAAAGCAACAGAATTGAACATGGGTGTTTTTTCTATAGATCTGACCCTGGCTCTCCCCAGCAGGGTAGGCAGACATGTTGGAACCTGGCAGGCTCATGTGTGCAGCTCTGGAAAAATCTGGATGTGGATGTGGGTGTGGGTACAGCAGCCACACATCTGCTTGTTTCACAATGGTTTGGTTTCAACAATTCTGTCTTGTGATTCCTCTACACCTTGAAAAGTCCATTGTTTGGGCATCCAAGCTGTGTCTTACAGACTCTCACACTCAGAAGCAGCACAAAACCCTTTTGTCAGACCTTATCTTGAATTCGGGCTCCAAAAAATGTCATTGTGGATCAACTCTGAAAGAATAATAAGCAAAGCAAAACTCTAGTCCTGACTTTTGGGGGTCAGGCTGAGCTTAGGGGCTTGGCGTGATGGGAAAAAGGGGCCAAAATAGCGGTTGGCACAAGGATACGGAGAACTCTGGAAACAGAGCCAGGGACTCTGAGGATTGAGGCCCAGGAAAGTCTGGCACGAGTAAACGCTAGGTATTTAACCAGGAACAGTCACTCTATTTTTCTCAGCCTTGGCAGTAGGTTAGAGCAACAAGCAGTTCTAGCAGGGTCCACATCCTTCCTATTGTCTCCACCCCAAACTCACTCATCGTCCCAAACATCTGCTTCAGATTTGGGTCCTTGCCTTCTCCCTGATTCCTGCACCAAGCCGTGGGTGGCAAGGGCAAGGGGGCAGGCCTGCAGGTGTGGGATGAGGAAGAAAAGGAGTAGGAAGGCCCTGGGAAAAGCTGCTTAATGGTTTTATTCAGGTGCTACAGAAGGATTAAGGGTCTGATCTATTCTTTTTTTAAAATGTGCATATGTATCCCCAAAATCTAACCAGTAAATAGTTTCACTTTCTGGGAACAGGGCTCAACCTAGGGAGAGAATTGGGACCAGCTGGAGAAGTCTTCTGGCCATCACGTGGTCTGCTTTTCAAAGGCAGCTCAGAGTCACTCCAGAAGGAGCAAACT